ATATTATCAAAATGATAACATTTTATTTCCGTCCACTTTTGAGCTAGATGTTTGTTAATCTGGTGTTGTTAGTTACTTCACAATTATGTGTACAACACATTGGTTTTCCTGAACTAAACAAGTTTATAGAAGGTCCTAAAACTGGTTCTATGATTATTTAAGAAAGAGTTGGCATTGCGACGAAACAGAAAGCGACCTTGCTTATGTAGATGCAATCTGGATTGCACCAAGAAAATTGCAGATGCCGCAAATTGCGAAGGTTATGCACAGAGAACTGTTCCTGTGATGACGCCGGGTGCAAAAACAAGGTAAACCCTACGCCTACAGACATATAAGTTGATTTTACGTTTGAATTTATGTAAATACAGGTTAACCTGTATAATACCTGTATTATAATTTTAGCTGTAGGCCTTAAACAAAATAATTTAAGTTCACAGTCAGTCACTATAATAGAAAAACAATTCCTTGAGTCCGGATTAATGCATCAGCTTCTCTGAACACTTAATTGAAATACTCATAGCCTAATAGTCTAAAAGTGGTATAATTGTTGGCAACAAAATTACTAAATGATACATTACCCAATAACTTTTCTTTTTTCAAACTCATTTATTTTTAAAACAAATTTCACGTGTTCTATGTTTTGTGTGATTATTTTATCTACAACTATATTATGTTTCACTCCACTTCAAAATAAAGATTTAGCTTCTGTTTCACAGAAAAAATGCAATAACTGCAACACAACAATTAACCTAAATTAAAAAAAAAATGGTTGTACAAAGATTCAGACGGCCAGTTTTGTGTTGAAGAAAATAGTGCAGACGGGGAAAAATATCGAGTGTGCGCAAAATGCAACTTGAACATCCGTAGAAGAGTAAGTAACCTAGAAACATATAGTGTATCTAGTCATGTAAGACAAGAGATTGTTAAATATTTGTGGATAACGTTCTAGTACAAACACATTTGAATCATGCCCTCGTACCTGCACCCGAGTAAACGCAAAGGGAAGCGTGATCCCATGTGCAGGGACGAGGAGTGCTGACTGAGGACGTAATGTTCCTTAGATATACAGTCAATGGCAACGAAGTTTCGACTGAATCCTAGCCACATGTTTTATTTCCTTTTAATTTACGAATTGGTTTAGTTATTATAATTACTTATATTTTATATGTTATTTTATATTTCTATTAATTTTTTATTTGTATTTATTTTATATTTATATTGTATTTTATATTTTAATTTCTTATACATTAGTTAGGTATTTATTATTGAGATTATCAAGTATTAACTTAAATTGAAATTTTTACAGATAAAGATATAGAAACATTAAGAGACAATTTAACCCAGTTAAGGTTACAGCCTGTTGTGTCTTTTGACCGGAATGTATAACTGAATTGTTCACAGTGAATAGTCCGTACATCACCCACCTTCTGATCGGAATAGAAAATGTTGTATTAATGTTGTATTAAATTCAGAATAGAAAATAAACAGCATTGCATAATAAACATTTGGGTTGCTATGGTAACAACTATAGCTTTATGTGTTCATAACAAACACTAAAACAAAACATTAAATTGTACAACGACTCACAACAGAAAAACAATAAATAATTAACCAATCAGCTGGTATTAAAATATAGGAGGATAGAATATTATTAATTGACACTATATTGAAAATATATCATTCATGATTTTGCCTCAGTCCTGAGTCTCGGTGATGATTTCCCCGTAAATGCAGCCCGAGGGAGATGTTCACGATTTCGCTATGGTCGCAAGTGTCGATGACGATATTCCCTTGTTTTAGGGAAAGCAGTGTTCACGATTTCTTCGCGATCAAGGGTGTCAATGATGATTTACCCGGAATTGTAGCCCAAGGAAAATGTTGAGATGTACACAATTTCATACACAATTGCTGGTGACGATGATCGTGGGACATTTTCATTATTTCACAGCTATCGTAGGGAATTTCAACCACAGGGATGGGGGCCGCTTAAGTAATTTGGCCTACGGTCGCATGTACCTTAAATACGGCATTGATTGTTGGTAACAAAATGACTAAATTATACATTATCCAATAACTTTTCTTTTTTCATACTCATTTATTTTAAGAAAAAAATTTCACGTGTCTGCAAATTTGTTCGATGATTTCAACATCTTTCTCTCTCGCAGTCTAGTTCCATACATACAAAGTACCACATATTATATAGAAATTTTAAGAGGTAATTTAAGCCAGTTAATGTTACAGCCTCTTATGCCTTTTGACTGTAATGTATAACTGAATTGTTTACAGTGAATAATCTGTACATCACTTCTGTTTTACAGGTTCAAGATAGGTATGAATGTGCTATGTTTCAATCCAACTTGTAACATAGCAATTAAACACCCGAGATATTCTTTCATGCCATTATGCAACGCGTGTCACATGTACCTTTACTCAAATGGGGTAAGTAACCTAGAAACATTTAGTGTATTTTGTCATGTAAAGCTGGTAATCATGACACTTAGGCCCAGCGCACACGGTGTGACTGTTTTACAACTGTCGTTGCAAACCAGTTGCGCAATCTGAAAATACTGGTCAATTAAGAAAAATACCTATTGAAAATCTCCCCTTATTTGAAAGTTTTCTATATTATATTGTATATTATATTGATATATTATATTTATTACCTATTGGTCTGTATGGACAATTAATTATTATATATGGTTTGAAAAGGGAGATGGATTGACATATTAATAAAAAGAAAAACATATGATGAAGTTGAATTATTCTATAATAAATAACAGTGAAAATATTGAAGTGTTGCATAGTTCAAATAAAAAAATCAATCATATTATCCATCACTAATTGGTAGAACATGATCAAATTCAACATTTGATATGAATGTGCACTTAGCCCGTGTATTGGCTTGTAAAGATAAACAGTTATATTTTTGCATTATTATTAATGTGAAAGATATGTATAAGTTGTGACAGTGATACTGTATGAACCTGTATGAAACCCAGTACAGCAGTCTGATTCCAACATCCATTATTATTTTTGTGTTGGGTTAGTGCTTGTGTTTTATACACAATAACCCAACACGCACACGTGCACGTAAGTTTGCATTAACGTTTGAGATGTCTTTGAGAGAATATTTTTTGGATACAAGTTACGTGATAAGTGCTGATTTATTTACTGAGATAAGATTGATTATGTCTAAGTGGTGTGTGTGTGTGTTGTCTGCAGTTAAGACGAGTTGTGCGAGGAGGTATTGTTTTGGGTGTAAGACGAGATATTTTGGGGAGGAGCTGATGGTGAAAAACATGATTTTCCACATCGACCTCTTCAAATGTACAGGTGAGGAGAATAACAACAATAGTGTATGATTACATTTAGGATTTTTGAATTATTACATTTTAAATAAAAGCTCAGCCCCTTGCCTAGAGTCACTTGATATTTCAGTTTTACCATGCATTTTGATACCAACACAATGCAGGTCAATTAGGAACACACAGTAGCCTATTTCACATTTTTGTCCGCAGAACTCTATAATTCCTTTGAAGGGACGGAGGTAAATTTATAGATTCATTTCAGTTATAACAGGAAACTATACTTCCTGTTAGGCACAGTAACTTTGGTGTTAAGTTAGAGCTGTAATTACATCGTCTGGTTGGCAGTGTTTTCCCGTTGGAAAAACCGCTAACCCCCAATTGTTTTAAAGTCATTCCCAATAACATATCGATCAAAACAAAAAAAAGCTTGAATGACAACTGATTTGTTTAATGGGTGGCTAGTATTATTAAATAAGGATATGAACTCAAAATCGTACAAGTATCCTGTTTCTTGACGAATGTTTGGTCCACAAAAATCTCTTTATTTATCTAACCTGAAACTAAATTTTTTTGCCATATTTATGTCAAAGTTGTTGCTTCTTGACTAAGGCATCATTCAAAATTTCAAAAAGAACCTTACCTGTTTAAAAATTAACTCTGTTATTCAAATTGTTTATTTTTCTCCCAATAGATACAACCCAATAGATAATTCACAACTTTTAATGATTCACATTTATTTGCTTGGCTCTCTAATTTCAAATTATTAAGTGTTTATAATTAATTCAACATGCAAATTGAAAACAAATAATAAAATATATTAATGCTAACTAAATATATTTCCTAAACTAACTCCTAAACCTACAAGCCAAACAGCAAAACCTACAGCTACAGCTACCAAAGCAACAGCTACCAGGAGACTTGTAAATGGACAGTCTAAGTAAGTTTATTAACTTTTTTCTTTAATTGTCCAGTATATTTTAGTATATACAAGGTAGTTGAAATAAATTAGTTAGAATTTTTCAATATATTTTTTAAAATATAATCTACGACGGCGATTCTCATTGTCAGTAAAGAAAGACAAATACTATCGACATTGTTCTGATAATGTGGTTGGGGGGGGGGGGGCAGTCATGACAAACCCCAGTCATGACAAAACGTTTGCCCGTGCCACGTCGCGTGTGGAACTAGTTCCCGAATGTAAGGCCGGGGCCACACGACGCGGATCATCCGCGCGTGGAAAAAGTTAAATACTTAGAAGTACGCTCAGAAACCTTAATTTGCCAAAATCATTTTCTGCAATCTAGGAGTGTGAAAAATCTTGAGCCATTTAACCTAGATGATAAATCTTCTAAAGTTTGAAGTGGGTGATGGCGACGTTTAATATTTTTGTTCAAATCGGTTGGATCTAAGCAGATTCGGACTTTGTCTTTTTGGCGTACAACAACCATGGGGGACGTTTCTTGTTTTAAAATAAAACTAAATCTTTAAATGAAGAATTCCATTTAATGATCTACAAGTTAGTATGTTTACAAGTAAGTTTGTTGACCATTCCTTCGTGAATGGTTATGTAGAGATTGGCAGTAAATGATTTCATAACCATCATCTATAATAGACCCCCCTACTGCCACATGTGATTTGATTTTAAAATAATTGAAATCACCATAATGACATATGTGTTTTGTTCCAGGAGAGCAGGCCTCCAGGAATGGCTCGGGGAAAGTGGCCAAGAAAAAAGAATTAGGCTTTTCGACATCAACAGTAAAGTATATTTTTAAATACTTTATAGGTTACTAGCAGTTACCCGGCGCGAGTTGCTGTGCTTAATAACTATATTTTTAAATGGTAATTTGTTGTTTACGATAAATAATAAAAAAAGTATACTAAGAACAAGTATAGAATATTTATTTTACTTTAATGCCAGTGGATAAACTATGATTTTTTTTCATTAGGTGTATAAATATATAAGTTTTTAGGCGTACCAAGACGTGAGCACGCAACATACAGCTGTCCGTGTGAAAAGCATGCATTTTCTAAATTTAAACCAGCGATAGTCAGGGATTGCCCTTGTGCCTTATTAATGGTCATTGCGAAAGCAAGACGCAAAGGAAATTGTAGTCGCTTGAATTCAGAAGGTATTTCAGATGAAATCGGTATTCTTGGGATTAAGACTATTTCTCCTTTGAACTTACACTGATGATTGTTGCTTCGATCAAGTTTGGTGTAATTTTTTAAATCGTCAGTCTAGTTCCGTTGCATAGCGTGAATTAAGTTTTTTTTAACACAGTAACTTAATGTAAGTTTAAAAAAATAAAATCTAAATAGTCCCTGAGTAGCTGGTGCTGCTACCTAGCCCGGATTGGGCGAATCTTTTAGCTAAGTGGTTGGTAGTGTATCCTATGAACATGCAGGTCACCAATGGTCGTTTTGCTATTTTTTTAAAAATAATTCCTTCTGATCTGTTTGAATACGTAAATATGATAAAAATACACATTAGTGAACAAAAATATTAGTTTAGTTTAGTTTATTAGTTTAGTAATGAGATCTGTTGAGAAACATTTTGAAACAATTTTGTTGAACCTCCTCTACTCATTGACCGACTAATTTCAAAGGTCATATCCACCACTAGCCTATATTATTTTTCACTACAGACTTAACTTCTGTTACATGTGGCTACAGATTACCTGTAATAACTGCGGAACGGACAAGACCAGTAGATGGAGGAATAATAAAACTATGTGTAACGCCTGCTTTTTGTGGCCCAAACATCACCGTGGGGTAAGTAAAACTGTTGGGCGGATTTAAAGGAGACGGTTAGCCTCCTAGATGGGCCTGTGTGTAATGAGTGAGACATGTTAATAAAACCTCATTTAGATGGTTTCTCATCGTTGCCATGGATTTAGTAGATTTGAAAATGTTTAAATATTTTTCTTGATTAGTTTTTTATATAGGGTTTTAAACAGCAGTGATCATAAAATAATTTTTAGCTTCTTTAGTTCCTTAATAAAAAACTATGGAACTTTAGCTACCTTGTCCTTGCACTAAGATAATAATTCTTAAGAATTTGTTTTAGAATCTGCACAGCTAATTTGGAAGGGGAGCCCGATAGAAAAAAAACCATTAGTGGGTGGTTGGCTCAAAGTCTGACAAAGTCTAGCAGCCGGCGCTAAGATTCTAAACTAGCTTTTGGCATAAAATACTTTGCTTAACATAACAACTGTAAACATTCAGCTTTTGTGTCACAAATTCAGCATTTGGATAAAAACGTAAAGACATACTTAGGGTTGACTTATTTATACTATGTGTAATGCTAATCATTGATACGTTCAATTCAACTGTAAGAGGATGACAGATTAATTAAATATTCATAGTAAAATACTAGGATGTTCAAATTATTTATTTAAGCAATCTTAGTAATCTTCGATTTGATTTAGAGCAATGTAATTTGTTTTTTAGCCAAAGTGAAAGTTCAAATTTGAGACTATGGTCTTTTCCTTACTAGCATACTACTATCGTTACCATCGTACTATCGTTTCCATTGCGTTTTGTGAGGTCAAATCTCATTTCAAGTTGCAGATTTAGTTTCCCCACCCTCGTAAACATTAAAAACGATATACTACACCCTACATCTAGCAATAAAGTGTTTAAAAATTTTTTTCAGGGAGCAATTATTATTCTAATTTAAATAACCTTATATCAGGAACTTCCCCAAGTCAGATTTCGGTAGACTTTTTTGTGCTGTGTGGAGGTATAAAAGTAATGAAATCTGTTGAGAAACCTTTTGAAACAATTTTGTTGAACGTCCACTACGCAATGAATGGACTAATTTCAAAGGTCATATCCACCACTAGCCTATGTTATTTTTCATTACAGACTTAACTTCTGTTACAAGAAATATGTATCAACTGCACCACCACAACAACAACTAGGTGGTGGGGCCAAAAATGACATGCTTGTCATCAATGGCAAATGAACCACAATGGGGTAAGTAACTTATACCCCTACCATGTAGCCAATTAGGTAGTATACTTTAATTTAGGATGAATATAATTGAATCTAATTTAAGCTGGTAGTAGTATTGCTCAAATCAAGAGGTGCAGGTTTACAATCCATTCTCACAAGTTATTCTGACACCATGTTAACTATATTATATCAGATTTCGGTAGACTTTTTTTGTATCGGTCCCAATTTCCAAATCTCCCCATAGTCTCTGCTTAAGTTTGAGTGGTCTTAAACGAAGGATTCAACAATTGAAGGACCACACCTACTCAGCTTAGGCTCCGGATTTATATTCTGATTTATATTTTAGAGTTTTTTGTAGTAAATTAGAAACTAATTATCTTTACTGCAGGGTGGAGTCAAACTCCCCACTGTAGAAGAGAAGAACACTTTGGAGAAGAGCACTTTAGAACCTCCCACTACCGAACCCGTGGCTAGAACTTCGTCCTTGGAAGAACCTGTGAATGTCACATTAATAACTGATACATATTACGCTATCCAGTCATAAATAATACTAAAACTTGTTTTTAAAATAAGCGTAGCTAGAGACAATTTACAAGTATTTATTTACAAACATCAAAAACAAAAAGTGGATTTAAACATTGTTCCACATATTACCTGTTGTTGAATTTTAACTGTAATGTTGTCACTATTTTATTAATTAGGCTAATTTTGAATAATAAGACGATAAGAAAATGTTTAGCAAAGATAAATCCTCGTATTTGTAGTAAACATGAAATAAAACTTAGTTTTTGTTGTAATTTTCCTGGTTTTCCTATACATTTTTATGTTCTGATAGCATTGTTTGAAACCAAAATCTCATAAAATCAAAAGACATATAGTTTACTGTGTAATATTGAATTTAACTTTGATTTAGTTGGACGAGGTTGTCATAATAAAGCCATTTTAGGGAAAATAATGTTTTGCAGCAAAATCTCAGGAACACAATATAAACTGAAAAATATCATCTAAATAGTTCGTGACTAACTAGTGCTGCTACCTAGTAACGCATTGAACAACCATCTGTAGCGCTATCTGTTCGCAATCAGTGGCGTCAGCTTAAATACCGGTTTTTGACTCAGTCTTCAAGCACAGATAGCCGAGAAGGCTAGGGCGTGTGTCACTTGGCCAGTGGCATTCGTCTGCTCGGGTTCGAATCCCGTCCTGTGTGGCAAATAATTGGCGATCTGTGTGTTTGTAGCGATATACTACAACCACTGGGGCATAGTGAGGTGTTCATAATCCTTGGTTTAGACATACACCTCGAAATCATCGGATTGGGCGAATCTTTTAGCTAAGTGGTTGGTAGTGTATCCTATGAACATGCAGGTCACCAATGGCCGGTTTGCTATTTTTTTTTTAATAATTCCTTCTGATCTGTTTGAATACTTAAATATGATAAAAATACACATTAGTGAACAAAAATATTTTCTCAAGACTGCAATTTTGATTGGATTATAAAATACACAATTTAAACCAATAATGTATTTTTAAAACTAAATTTAATGAGGAAATAATTTATATCTGCATTCTTCAGACAAAGCAATGATTACTAAATATCCTCATTGAACTTTACACTAAAATCAATTAATTAAAGACGATGTTTCTAATAATAATAAATTAATAAATAAAGTGCTGATCTGGCCAAAATTAATACATTACTTCCACATGTTAATTTTCGAGCATAACAAGATTTAACTGTCATATTTTTTGTATTCAAACGATTTATTTCATTTTCTTTCATTTTATGTTCTGTCAGTACTAATAAATCCACTGAAATTTCATCTAGTAAGATAGACAACATGTCTAGTCTGGAGGGTAGGTGCTGGATATTTTGGTGTAGGATACTAATTTCGTTATTAATATTTTGATTGCAGTTTGTTTTACTTTTGTTGTTTTTGTTTTTACTTTTTGTTGCAAATGGTTCCAAAACAACCAACTTCTTCTAAACTGCAAGAAAACAAAAATGCTCCAATACCATATTAACAGCTCAAAAAAGCAAGTCACACTGACTGTTTTGATAGGTGACGAAGAGATCTCTTCTTACAGCAATGCTAAGTTTCTTGGTTTGGTTTTAGACAGATAGCTCAACTTTCATGACCATATAGAGCTCATATCAAGAAGAATTAGCACAGGAATTTTTGTGATCAGAGGTCTTTCGAGGTTTACCGATTCTCGTGTAACCTTGAGTGCCTATTATGGACTGATTTACCCATTATTGTCGTATTTGGTGGCAGTTTAGGGCTGTGAGAGCGTACGAACAAAGTTTGTCTTCCGTCTTCAGAAAAAAGCCCTTAGAGCAGCCTTCAGAATATCCCGTCGTACTTCTTGCAAGCCTCTCTTCAAGGAATACAATATTCTCACATTTCCATCCATATACATACTCAGTTGTCTATCGTTTTTAAAAGGAAATTAACTGTATCAACCGCAGTTCCATTCAATGCAGTACACTCTCAGACAAAAAAACAATATTAAGCTACCTAAGCACAGGACAAGTTTCTTTGAGAGACACCTATTTTATAATAGTATCAGGTTTTTCAATGTGTTGCCTGAACCCCTGAAAGTGGAGCAAGACAAAGACAAATTTGGGAGAGCGGTCAAACGCATACTCTTGGAACAAGCTCCCTACACTGTGAAAGATTTTTTAAGTTGCCGATCGAATTAAGATACTGTTCAGTTGCGTTTTAGTTCTAACAGCATTTATAATTTAGTTTTATTATATATTCTTGTGAAGCTATTATACAGTTTTTTTTCTGTGCAAAAATAAAGATGATTTGATTTGATTTGACGGAACATTGATGCGGTAGTAGGATTTTGTGAGGTCAAATCTCATTTAAGTTGCAGATTTAGTTTCCCCACCCTCGTAAACATTAAAAACTATATACTACACCCTACATCTAGCAATAATGTGTTTAACAATTTTTTTTCTGGGAGCAATTATTATTCTAATTTAAATAACCTAATATCAGGAACTTCCCCAAGTCAGACTTCGGTAGACTTTTTTGTGCTGTGTAGAGGTATAAAAGTCATGAAATCTGTTGAGAAACCTTTTGAAACAATTTTGTTGAACCTCCACTACTCAATGAATGGACTTATTTCAAAGGTCATATCTCCCACTAGCCTATATTATTTTACACTACAGACTTAACTTCTGTTACATGTGGCTACAGATTACCTGTAAAAACTGTGGCACTGACCAGACCAGTAAATGGAGAAAAAAGAATACAATGTGCAACGCCTGCTTTCAATGGCCGAATAATCACCGTGGGGTAAGTAAAACTGTTGGGCGGTTTTAAAGGAGACAGTTAGCCTCCTAGATGGGCCCGTGTGTAATGAGTGAGACATGTTAATAAAACCTCATTTAGATGGTTTCTCATCGTTGCCATGGATTTAGTAGATTTGAAAATGTTTAAATATTTTTCTTGATTGGTTTTTTATATAGGGTTTTAAACAGCAGTGATCATAAAATAATTTTAGCTTCTATAGTTCCTTAATAAAGAACTATGGACCTTTAGCTACCTTGTCCTTGCACTAAGATAATAATTCTTAATAATTTGTATTAGAATCTGCACAGCTAATTTGGAAGGGGAGCCCGAAAGAAGTATTCGAAAAAAACCATTAGTGGGTGGTTGGCTCAAAGTCTGTTCAAAGTCTGCTCAAAGTGGTTGTGTTGTGTGGAGGTATAAAAGTAATGAAATCTGTTGAGAACCTTTTGAAACAATTTTGTTGAATCTCCACTACTCAATGACTGGACTAACTTCAAAGGTCACATCTACCACTAGCCTATATTATTTTTCACTACAGACTTAACTTTTGTTACATGTGGCTGCAGAAAATCTGTAACAACTGTAACACTGTGACATCATCAAAATGGTGGAAAGGTGGCACAGAATGCAACGCGTGCAATCAGTACTACAAGAATCACGGTGGGGTAAGTAACTGTTGCGCGGTTTTAAAGTAGAGAATTAAAATATTTTACTAATTAGCGAAAGAGAAATTGACAGAGAACTGTTCCTGTGATGACGCCGGGTGCAAAGACAAGGTAAACCCTACGCCTACAGACATATAAGTTGATTTTACGTTTGAATTTATGTAATACAGGTTAACCTGTACATGCAATTCAATAACTTTCCAATTTAAGTTAGTTAAAAAGTTCCTTACTCTTACCAGTAGACTATATTTCCAAATTTGTTCAAGTATTATAATTTTAGCTGTAGGCCTTAAACAAAATAATTTAAGTTCACAGTCGGTCACTATAATAGAAAAACAATTCCTTGAGTCCGGATTAATGCATCAGCTTCTCTGAACACTTAATTGAAATATTCATAGCCTAATAGTCTAAAAGTAAGTGGTATAATTGTTGGCAACAAAATTACTAAATGATACATTACCCAATAACTTTTCTTTTTTCAAACTCATTTATTTTTAAAACAAATTTCACGTGTTCTATGTTTTGTGTGATTATTTTATCTACAACTATATTATGACTCACTCCACTTCAAAATAAAGATTTAGCTTCTGTTTCACAGGAAAAATGCAATAACTGCAACAAAACAATTAATCTAAAATCAAACAAAAAATGGTTGTACAAAGATTCAGACGGCCAGTTTTGTGTTGAAGAAAATAGTGCAGACGGGGAAAAATATCGAGTGTGCGCAAAATGCAACTTGAACATCCGTAGAAGAGTAAGTAACCTAGAAACATATAGTGTATCTAGTCATGTAAGACAAGAGATCGTTAAATATTTGTGGATAACGTTCTAGTACAAACACTTTTGAATCATGCCCTCGTACCTGCACCTGAGTAAACGCAAAGGGAGGCGTGATCCCATGTGCAGGGACGAGGAGTGCTGACTGAGGACGTAATGTTCCTTAGATATACAGTCAATGGCAACGAAGTTTCGACTGAATCCGAGCCACATGTTTTTTCCTTTTAATTTACGAATTGGTTTAGTTATTATAATTATTTATATTTTATATGTTATTTTATATTTCTATTAATTTTTTATTTGTATTTATTTTATATTTATATTGTATTTTATATTTTAATTTCTTATACATTAGTTAGGTATTTATTATTGAGATTATCAAGTATTAACTTAAATTGAAATTTTTTACAGATAAAGATATAGAAACATTGAGAGGCAATTTTACCCAGTTAAGGTTACTAAATTATACATTACCCAATAACTTTTCTTTTTTCAAACTCATTTATTTTTAAAACAAATTTCACGTGTTCTATGTTTTGTTTGATTATTTTATCTACAACTATACTATGTTTCACTCCACTTCCAAACTAAATTTAGCTTCTGTTTCACAGGAAAGATGCAATAACTGCAACAAAACAATTAATCTAAAATCAAACAAAAAATGGTTGTACAAAGATTCAGACGGCCAGTTATGTAAAGAAGATAATGGAGACGGGGAACAATATCCAGTTTGCAGCAAATGCAACCTAAACATCCGTAGAAGAGTAAGTAACCTAGAAACATATAGTGTATCTAGTCATGTAAGACAAGAGATCGTTAAATATTTGTGGATAACATTCTAGTACAAACACTTTTGAATCATGCCCTCGTACCTGCACCTGAGGCTGTAACGTTCCTTAGATATACAGTCAATGGCAACGAAGTTTCGACTGAATCCTAGCCACATGTTTTTTCTTTTTAATTTACGAATTGGTTTAGTTATTATAATTATTTATATTTTATATGTTATTTTATATTTGTATTTATTTTATATTTCTATTTATTTTTTATTTTATTGATTTTATATTTCAATTTCTTATACATTAGTTAGGTATTTATTATTGAGATTATCAATTATTAACTTAAATTGAAATTTTTTACAGATAAAGATATAGAAACATTAAGAGGCAATTTTACCCAGTTAAGGTTACTAAATTATACATTACCCAATAACTTTTCTTTTTCCAAACTCATTTATTTTTAAAACAAATTTCACGTGTTCTATGTTTTGTGTGATTATTTTATCTAAAACTATATTATGTTTCACTCCACTTCCAAACTAAATTTAGCTTCTGTTTCACAGGAAAAATGCACTAATTGCAACAAGAACATTAAACAAAATCAAACAAAAGATGCTTACAAAAATATGCAGACGGCCAATTCTGGATACAAAAAAATGCAGACGGGGAAAATTATGTAGTTTGCACCGCCTGTAACACCAAAATCCCGTACAATTTAATCGATGTGAATGATGATGCTACATAACTGTAAATTTCATAACTGAACAATTCAATGCAATGTACTGAGTTAGATTAAGGAACTGTGACGCTATTTATTGTATTGCTGTACATGAAACGAATAAAGAAGTTTTAAATTGAATTGAGTACTCCTATCAAAAATCCATCATTTGGCTGCCACCTCAAAGTTTAGGGATTCATTTTTACCTATGTCTGGAGTAGATTTTGTTGGATTTTCACTCATGATCTGCATATAAGCTAGCATGTGACTATTAATTTTATTTAAGTCATATGTTTATGTTTTTATATTTGATTATTACATTTGTGTTTTTCCTTGATTCAATTAAACACTAGTTTTCTATTTTGTCTAAATTTAGTTTGATATTCATGAGTTTTAGAGTAAATTTCACATTTAATATGCTCTCCCCTTTAGGTTATGGGCCCAGAGGGTTCTAGACTCATGAATTTAATATATTCCCAAGTTAAATCTTTTTCAATCTAAATAATTTATCAGTCAGCCTAGGTTGAAGTGTAAAGTTTTGTTCTTGTAACATCTCATAACATTTTCACAAAATGACTAGTACTGTAAATTACCGAATTGAACCTCTAAACAAAAATAACTATGATACTTGGAGAATTCAGGCACAAGCGATATTAATAAAATCAGATCTGTTGAAATATGTCTGTGGTGAAGAACCATGTCCTGATGATACAGATCCTGAAAAGAAGAAAAGGTGGTTGAATCAAGACTTGATAGCAAAATCAGATTTAATACTACTAATCTCTGCAGGTGAGCTTAGAAATATAAAAAGCTGCAACACCTCAAAAGATATTTGGGACACTTTGAATAATATTTATGCATCTAAAGGTCCTGCCCGTAAGGGAACACTTTTAAAGAAATTGATTCTACACAAATTGAAAGATGGACATAATGTAAGAAATCACTTAGATGAATTTACTGATGCTGTTGATAAATTATTAGAATTAGACATTGTCATAAATGATTATCTTTTGTCCATAATGATGTTGTACAGTCTTAATTCATTATTTGAGAACTTTCGAGTCGCAATAGAGTCACGAGATTCTCTTCCTAAACCTGATAAGCTAAAATTAAAATACTTGAAGAATTTGAAGCTAGGCAAAAAGTAGTAGTAAATTCACACTCTAAAGATAGAGTTGAAAAACAAAGCACTGACGGTGAATTTTTCTCTAAAAGTGTTAACAGCAAGCACAAAAACTTTAATCAAAATTCAAAGGGTTTCTGTAAAAAATGTGGGAGAAATAATCATTCAACAGAAACATTTTGGGCAAAAACTAAATACAATCACAAATATTTCAAAACAGAAGAACTTTGTCTTTTATCCGGAGAATGTAAACCCAAAGACAACATTTGGTGTCTCGACTCTGGTAGTACTTCTCATATGTGTAAAAATAGGGAAGACTTTGTTGAACTTTCAAAAACTTCTCCTAATCACACACTCAAACTTGCATCAAAAAATCAAACTACTGTCGGCGTCCCAAGACAGATTGTGTTCTGCTCATGAATTAACTCTTCCCTCAACAAAATACGCCTTGCGTTATTTGAATGTTAAAAACCCAGTAACCATTTAAACGCTAACTAAATAATTTAACTAAATTTAGCTATGCACATGTACAAAATGTTATGTGACAATAAAGAAATATTTATTTTTTATTTATTTATTTGATTTGACTTAGAAAAAGACTACCCAGTGGAAGTTGCTTTTGCCACTCCAGGGACATCAAAAGGGAATTTTTATGAAGAGGAGGAAGATGATGAAGGTGATGATAAGTTTTAAAATATTATCAAAATGATAACATTTTATTTCCGTCCACTTTTGAGCTAGATGTTTGTTAATCTGGTGTTGTTAGTTACTTCACAATTATGTGTACAACACATTGGTTTTCCTGAACTAAACAAGTTTATAGAAGGTCCTAAAACTGGTTCTATGATTATTTAAGAAAGAGTTGGCATTGCGACGAAACAGAAAGCGACCTTGCTTATGTAGATGCAATCTGGATTGCACCAAGAAAATTGCAGATGCCGCAAATTGCGAAGGTTATGCACAGAGAACTGTTCCTGTGATGACGCCGGGTGCAAAAACAAGGTAAACCCTACGCCTACAGACATATAAGTTGATTTTACGTTTGAATTTATGTAAATACAGGTTAACCTGTATAATACCTGTATTATAATTTTAGCTGTAGGCCTTAAACAAAATAATTTAAGTTCACAGTCAGTCACTATAATAGAAAAACAATTCCTTGAGTCCGGATTAATGCATCAGCTTCTCTGAACACTTAATTGAAATACTCATAGCCTAATAGTCTAAAAGTGGTATAATTGTTGGCAACAAAATTACTAAATGATACATTACCCAATAACTTTTCTTTTTTCAAACTCATTTATTTTTAAAACAAATTTCACGTGTTCTATGTTTTGTGTGATTATTTTATCTACAACTATATTATGTTTCACTCCACTTCAAAATAAAGATTTAGCTTCTGTTTCACAGAAAAAATGCAATAACTGCAACACAACAATTAACCTAAATTAAAAAAAAAATGGTTGTACAAAGATTCAGACGGCCAGTTTTGTGTTGAAGAAAATAGTGCAGACGGGGAAAAATATCGAGTGTGCGCAAAATGCAACTTGAACATCCGTAGAAGAGTAAGTAACCTAGAAACATATAGTGTATCTAGTCATGTAAGACAAGAGATTGTTAAATATTTGTGGATAACGTTCTAGTACAAACACATTTGAATCATGCCCTCGTACCTGCACCCGAGTAAACGCAAAGGGAAGCGTGATCCCATGTGCAGGGACGAGGAGTGCTGACTGAGGACGTAATGTTCCTTAGATATACAGTCAATGGCAACGAAGTTTCGACTGAATCCTAGCCACATGTTTTATTTCCTTTTAATTTACGAATTGGTTTAGTTATTATAATTATTTATATTTTATATGTTATTTTATATTTCTATTAATTTTTTATTTGTATTTATTTTATATTTATATTGTATTTTATATTTTAATTTCTTATACATTAGTTAGGTATTTATTATTGAGATTATCAAGTATTAACTTAAATTGAAATTTTTACAGATAAAGATATAGAAACATTAAGAGACAATTTAACCCAGTTAAGGTTACAGCCTGTTGTGTCTTTTGACCGGAATGTATAACTGAATTGTTCACAGTGAATAGTCCGTACATCACCCACCTTCTGATCGGAATAGAAAATGTTGTATTAATGTTGTATTAAATTCAGAATAGAAAATAAACAGCATTGCATAATAAACATTTGGGTTGCTATGGTAACAACTATAGCTTTATGTGTTCATAACAAACACTAAAACAAAACATTAAATTGTACAACGACTCACAACAGAAAAACAATAAATAATTAACCAATCAGCTGGTATTAAAATATAGGAGGATAGAATATTATTAATTGACACTATATTGAAAATATATCATTCATGATTTTGCCTCAGTCCTGAGTCTCGGTGATGATTTCCCCGTAAATGCAGCCCGAGGGAGATGTTCACGATTTCGCTATGGTCGCAAGTGTCGATGACGATATTCCCTTGTTTTAGGGAAAGCAGTGTTCACGATTTCTTCGCGATCAAGGGTGTCAATGATGATTTACCCGGAATTGTAGCCCAAGGAAAATGTTGAGATGTACACAATTTCATACACAATTGCTGGTGACGATGATCGTGGGACATTTTCATTATTTCACAGCTATCGTAGGGAATTTCAACCACAGGGATGGGGGCCGCTTAAGTAATTTGGCCTACGGTCGCATGTACCTTAAATACGGCATTGATTGTTGGTAACAAAATGACTAAATTATACATTATCCAATAACTTTTCTTTTTTCATACTCATTTATTTTAAGAAAAAAATTTCACGTGTCTGCAAATTTGTTCGATGATTTCAACATCTTTCTCTCTCGCAGTCTAGTTCCATACATACAAAGTACCACATATTATATAGAAATTTTAAGAGGTAATTTAAGCCAGTTAATGTTACAGCCTCTTATGCCTTTTGACTGTAATGTATAACTGAATTGTTTACAGTGAATAATCTGTACATCACTTCTGTTTTACAGGTTCAAGATATGAATGTGCTATGTTTCAATCCAACTTGTAACATAGCAATCAAACACCCGAGATATTCTTTCATGCCATTATGCAACGCGTGTCATATGTACCTTTACTCAAATGGGGTAAGTAACCTAGAAACATTTAGTGTATTTTGTCATGTAAGACAAGAGATCGTTAAATATTTGTGGATAACGTTCTAGTACAAACACTTTTGAATCATGCCCTCGTACCTGCACCTGAGTAAACGCAAAGGGAGGCGTGATCCCATGTGCAGGGATCAGGAGTGCTGACTGAGGACGTAATGTTCCTTAGATATACAGTCAATGGCAACGAAGTTTCGACTGAATCCGAGCCACATGTTTTTTCCTTTTAATTTACGAATTGGTTTAGTTATTATAATTATTTATATTTTATATGTTATTTTATATTTCTATTAATTTTTTATTTGTATTTATTTTATATTTATATTGTATTTTATATTTTAATTTCTTATACATTAGTTAGGTATTTATTATTGAGATTATCAAGTATTAACTTAAATTGAAATTTTTTAAAGATAAAGATATAGAAACATTGAGAGGCAATTTTACCCAGTTAAGGTTACTAAATTATACATTACCCAATAACTTTTCTTTTTTCAAACTCATTTATTTTTAAAACAAATTTCACGTGTTCTATGTTTTGTTTGATTATTTTATCTACAACTATACTATGTTTCACTCCACTTCCAAACTAAATTTAGCTTCTGTTTCACAGGAAAGATGCAATAACTGCAACAAAACAATTAATCTAAAATCAAACAAAAAATGGTTGTACAAAGATTCAGACGGCCAGTTATGTAAAGAAGATAATGGAGACGGGGAACAATATCCAGTTTGCAGCAAATGCAACCTAAACATCCGTAGAAGAGTAAGTAACCTAGAAACATATAGTGTATCTAGTCATGTAAGACAAGAGATCGTTAAATATTTGTGGATAACATTCTAGTACAAACACTTTTGAATCATGCCCTCGTACCTGCACCTGAGGCTGTAACGTTCCTTAGATATACAGTCAATGGCAACGAAGTTTCGACTGAATCCTAGCTACATGTTTTTTCTTTTTAATTTACGAATTGGTTTAGTTATTATAATTATTTATATTTTATATGTTATTTTATATTTGTATTTATTTTATATTTCTATTTATTTTTTATTTTATTGATTTTATATTTCAATTTCTTATACATTAGTTAGGTATTTATTATTGAGATTATCAATTATTAACTTAAATTGAAATTTTTTACAGATAAAGATATAGAAACATTAAGAGGCAATTTTACCCAGTTAAGGTTACTAAATTATACATTACCCAATAACTTTTCTTTTTCCAAACTCATTTATTTTTAAAACAAATTTCACGTGTTCTATGTTTTGTGTGATTATTTTATCTAAAACTATATTATGTTTCACTCCACTTCCAAACTAAATTTAGCTTCTGTTTCACAGGAAAAATGCACTAATTGCAACAAGAACATTAAACAAAATCAAACAAAAGATGCTTACAAAAATATGCAGACGGCCAATTCTGGATACAAAAAAATGCAGACGGGGAAAATTATGTAGTTTGCACCGCCTGTAACACCAAAATCCCGTACAATTTAATCGATGTGAATGATGATGCTACATAACTGTAAATTTCATAACTGAACAATTCAATGCAATGTACTGAGTTAGATTAAGGAACTGTGACGCTATTTATTGTATTGCTGTACATGAAACGAATAAAGAAGTTTTAAATTGAATTGAGTACTCCTATCAAAAATCCATCATTTGGCTGCCACCTCAAAGTTTAGGGATTCATTTTTACCTATGTCTGGAGTAGATTTTGTTGGATTTTCACTCATGATCTGCATATAAGCTAGCATGTGACTATTAATTTTATTTAAGTCATATGTTTATGTTTTTATATTTGATTATTACATTTGTGTTTTTCCTTGATTCAATTAAACACTAGTTTTCTATTTTGTCTAAATTTAGTTTGATATTCATGAGTTTTAGAGTAAATTTCACATTTAATATGCTCTCCCCTTTAGGTTATGGGCCCAGAGGGTTCTAGACTCATGAATTTAATATATTCCCAAGTTAAATCTTTTTCAATCTAAATAATTTATCAGTCAGCCTAGGTTGAAGTGTAAAGTTTTGTTCTTGTAACATCTCATAACATTTTCACAAAATGACTAGTACTGTAAATTACCGAATTGAACCTCTAAACAAAAATAACTATGATACTTGGAGAATTCAGGCACAAGCGATATTAATAAAATCAGATCTGTTGAAATATGTCTGTGGTGAAGAACCATGTCCTGATGATACAGATCCTGAAAAGAAGAAAAGGTGGTTGAATCAAGACTTGATAGCAAAATCAGATTTAATACTACTAATCTCTGCAGGTGAGCTTAGAAATATAAAAAGCTGCAACACCTCAAAAGATATTTGGGACACTTTGAATAATATTTATGCATCTAAAGGTCCTGCCCGTAAGGTAACACTTTTAAAGAAATTGATTCTACACAAATTGAAAGATGGACATAATGTAAGAAATCACTTAGATGAATTTACTGATGCTGTTGATAAATTATTAGAATTAGACATTGTCATAAATGATTATCTTTTGTCCATAATGATGTTGTACAGTCTTAATTCATTATTTGAGAACTTTCGAGTCGCAATAGAGTCACGAGATTCTCTTCCTAAACCTGATAAGCTAAAATTAAAATACTTGAAGAATTTGAAGCTAGGCAAAAAGTAGTAGTAAATTCACACTCTAAAGATAGAGTTGAAAAACAAAGCACTGACGGTGAATTTTTCTCTAAAAGTGTTAACAGCAAGCACAAAAACTTTAATCAAAATTCAAAGGGTTTCTGTAAAAAATGTGGGAGAAATAATCATTCAACAGAAACATTTTGGGCAAAAACTAAATACAATCACAAATATTTCAAAACAGAAGAACTTTGTCTTTTATCCGGAGAATGTAAACCCAAAGACAACATTTGGTGTCTCGACTCTGGTAGTACTTCTCATATGTGTAAAAATAGGGAAGACTTTGTTGAACTTTCAAAAACTTCTCCTAATCACACACTCAAACTTGCATCAAAAAATCAAACTACTGTCGGCGTCCCAAGACAGATTGTGTTCTGCTCATGAATTAACTCTTCCCTCAACAAAATACGCCTTGCGTTATTTGAATGTTAAAAACCCAGTAACCATTTAAACGCTAACTAAATAATTTAACTAAATTTAGCTATGCACATGTACAAAACGTTATGTGACAATAAAGAAATATTTATTTTTTATTTATTTATTTGATTTGACTTAGAAAAAGACTACCCAGTGGAAGTTGCTTTTGCCACTCCAGGGACATCAAAAGGGAATTTTTATGAAGAGGAGGAAGATGATGAAGGTGATGATAAGTTTTAAAATATTATCAAAATGATAACATTTTATTTCCGTCCACTTTTGAGCTAGATGTTTGTTAATCTGGTGTTGTTAGTTACTTCACAATTATGTGTACAACACATTGGTTTTCCTGAACTAAACAAGTTTATAGAAGGTCCTAAAACTGGTTCTATGATTATTTAAGGAAGAGTTGGCATTGCGACGAAACAGAAAGAGACCTTGCTTATGTAGATGCAATCTGGATTGCACCAAGAAAATTGCAGATGCCGCAAATTGCGAAGGTTATGCACAGAGAACTGTTCCTGTGATGACGCCGGGTGCAAAAACAAGGTAAACCCTACGCCTACAGACATATAAGTTGATTTTACGTTTGAATTTATGTAAATACAGGTTAACCTGTACATGCAATTCAATAACTTTCAAATTTAAGTTAGTTAAAAAGTTCCTTACTCTTACCAGTAGACTATATTTCCAAATTTGTTCAAGTATTATAATTTTAGCTGTAGGCCTTACTTCTCTGAACACTTAATTGAAATATTCATAGCCTAATAGTCTAAAAGTAAGTGGTATAATTGTTGGCAACAAAATTACTAAATGATACATTACCCAATAACTTTTCTTTTTCCAAACTCATTTATTTTAAAACAAATTTCACGTGTTCTATGTTTTGTATGATTATTTTATCTACAACTATATTATGTTTCACTCCACTTCCAAACTAAATTTAGATTCTGTTTCACAGGAAATATGCAAAAACTGCAAAAAAAAAACAATTAATTTAAAATCAAACAAAAAATGGCTGTACAAAGACTCAGACGGCCAGTTTTGTGTTGAAGAAAATAGTGCAGACGGGGAAAAATATCGAGTGTGCGCAAAATGCAACTTGAACATCCGTAGAAGAGTAAGTAACCTAGAAACATATAGTGTATCTAGTCATGTAAGACAAGAGATCGTTAAATGTTTGTTGATAACGTTCTAGTACAAACACTTTGGAATCATGCCCTCGTACCTGCACCCAAGCAAACGCAAAGTAAAGCGTGATCCCATGTGCAGGGATGAGGAGTGCTGACTGAGGACGTAATGTTCCTTAGATATACAGTCAATGGCAACGAAGTTTCGACTGAATCCGAGCCACATGTTTTTTCCTTTTAATTTACAAATTGGTTTAGTTATTATAATTATTTATATTTTATATGTTATTTTATATTTTTATTTATTTTTTATTTGTATTGATTTTGTATTTATATTGTATTTCATACTTTAATTTCTTATACATTAGTTAGGTATTTATTATTGAGATTATCAAGTATTAACTTAAATTAAAATGTTTTACAGGTAAAGATATAGAATCATTAAGAGGCAATTTAACCCAGTTAAGGTTACAGCCTGTTGTGTCTTTTGACCTGAATGTATAACTGAATTGTCCACAGTGAATAGTCCGTACATCACCCACCTTCTGATCGGAATAGAAAATGTTGTATTAATGTTGTATTAAATTCAGAATAGAAAATAAACAGCATTGCATAATAAACATTTGGGTTGCTATGGTAACAACTATAGCTTCATGTGTTCATAACAAACACTAAAACAAAACATTAAATTGTACAATGGATTTACAAAAGAAAAACAATAAATAATTAACCAATCAGCTGGTATTAAAATATAGGAGGATAGAATATTATTAATTGACACTATATTGAAAATATATCATTCATGATTTTGCCTCAGTCCTAAGTCTCGATGATGATTTCCCCGTAAATGCAGCCCGAGGGAGATGTTCACGATTTCGCTATGGTCGCAAGTGTCGATGACGATATTCCCTTGTTTTAGGGAAAGCAGTGTTCACGATTTCTTCGCGATCAAGGGTGACAATGATGATTTCTCCCGGGATTGTAGCCCACGGGAGATGTTGAGATGTACACAATTTCATACACAATTGCTAGTGACAATGATCGTGGGACATTTTCATTACTTCACAGCTATCGTAGGGAATTTCTACCACAGGGATGGGGGCCGCTTAAGTAATTTGGCCTACGGTCACAAGTACCTTAAATACGGCATTGATTGTTGGTAACAAAATGACTAAATGATACATTATCCAATAACTTTTCTTTTTTCATACTCATTTATTTTAAGAAACAAATTTCACGTGTCTGCAAATTTGTTCGATGATTTCAACATCTTTCTCTCTTGCAGTCTAGTTCTATACATACAAAGTATAACATATCATATAGAAATTTTAAGAGGTAATTTAAGCCAGTTAATGTTACAGCCTCTTATGCCTTTTGACTGTAATGTATAACTGAATTGTTTACAGTGAATAATCTGTACATCACTTCTGTTTTACAGGTTCAAGATATGAATGTGCTATGTTTCAATCCAACTTGTAACATAGCAATTAAACACCCGAGATATTCTTTCGTGCCATTATGCAACGCGTGTCACATGTACCTTTACTCAAATAGGGTAAGTAACCTAGAAACATTTAGTGTATTTTGTCATGTAAAGCTGGTAATCATGACACTTAGGCCCAGCGCACACGGTGTGACTGTTTTACAACTGTCGTTGCAAACCAGTTGCGCAATCTGAAAATACTGGTCAATTAAGAAAAATACCTATTGAAAATCTCCCCTTATTTGAAAGTTTTCTATATTATATTGTATTACATTGATTACCTATTGGTCTGTATGGACAATTAATTATTATATATGGTTTGAAAAGGGAGATGGATTGACATATTAATAAAAAGAAAAACATATGATGAAGTTGAATTATTCTATAATAAATAACAGTGAAAATATTGAAGTGTTGCATAGTTCAAATAAAAAAAATCAATCATATTAACCATCACTAATTGGTAGAACATGATCAAATTCAACATTTGATATGAATGTGCACTTAGCCCGTGTTTTGGCTTGTAAAGATAAACAGTTATATTTTTGCATTATTATTAATGTGAAGATATGTATAAGTTGTGACAGTGATACTGTATGAACCTGTATGAAACCCAGTACAGCAGTCTGATTCCAACATCCATTATTATTTTTGTGTTGGGTTAGTGCTTGTGTTTTATACACAATAACCCAACACGCACACGTGCACGTAAGTTTGCATTAACGTTTGAGATGTCTTTGAGAGAATATTTTTTGGATACAAGTTACGTGATAAGTGCTGATTTATTTACTGAGATAAGATTGATTATGTCTAAGTGGTGTGTGTGTGTGTTGTCTGCAGTTAAGACGAGTTGTGCGAGGAGGTATTGTTTTGGGTGTAAGACGAGATATTTTGGGGAGGAGCTGATGGTGAAAAACATGATTTTCCACATCGACTGCTTCAAATGTACAGGTGAGGAGAATAACAACA